GGGGCACAATTCAGGGTTAAGGTATACAAACATTTATTATACAGGTACCCTTTCGATGAGGTATGTCCCTCCCTCCCCTAGCAGTTTCCCTCAACTACCAATCCTATCCCCCCTTCCCTGACAGTTTCCCACTACTGCCATTCGCTTTTTTTTTTTTTTTTTTTTAAGTTGGAGTCTCACTCTGTCACCCAGACTGGAGTGCAGTGGCACACTCATGGCCACCCCAGTGTCGACCTGCTGGGCTCTGGGGATCCTTCTGTCTCAGCCTTCCAAGTAACTGGAACTACAGGTGCGCGTTACCATGCCTAGCTAATTTATAATGTATTATAGAGGTGCGGTCTTTCCAAGTTACCTGGGCTGGTCTCGAACCCGCAGGCTCAGGCAATCCACGTCACCTTGGTCTCCCAAAGTGCTGGGATTACAGGCTGAACCACTGAGCCCAGCCAAGCGGTATATTTCTAAACACACAGGTTGAAGAATAATAAAATGATGGAAATACATGTCTGAATGTGTGAGATATGGCACAAGCTGCACTTGGAGGGAAATTCCTAGCTCTAAATGTATATCTTAGAAAAGAAGAGCTAGAAATTGATGATATAAAAGTATCTACCCCAAGAGTTTAGTTAGAAAAAGATCAGCAAATTAAGCCCAAGAAAGTAGAAGGAAGGAAATACTAAAGAGCAGAGTACAGTGAGATAGAAAACAAATATGATATAGATTACAAAGCTAAATGCAGTTTTTGAAAAGTCTCGTAGGCCAGCTGCAGTGGCTCATGCCTATAATCCCAGTACTTTGGGAAGCAGAGGCAAGAGGATGGCTTGAGTCCAGGGGTTTGAGACCAGCCTGGGCAACTTGATGAGACCTCATCTCTACAATAAGTAAAAAAAAAAATTAGCTGGGCATGTCAGCACGTGCCCGTAGTTCCAGCTACTTGGAAGGCTGAGGCGGAAGGATTACTTGACCTCAGCAGGTCATGACTGCAGTGGCCGTGGGTGTGCCACTGCACTCCAGCCTGGGCATCAGAGTGAGATTCCTACTCAGAAAAAAAAGAAAAGAAAAGAAAGAAAAGTCTAGTAAATAACAAAATAATAAATTTTTGACAAGAAAAATTAGGAAAAGTGAGAGAAGGCAGCAAAAGTCAATATTAAGAATAACAATAGGGATTACTACAGATCTGAATTACTACAGATTAAAATGAGTTTTAGAGGTTATTTTAAAACTTGTTATGCTTATGTATTTGAAAACACTTGGAGAAATTTACAGAAATGACAGTGTATCAAAACTGTCACAAGAAGGAGTTGAAAATGTGAATAGTTTTATATCTATAATTTAAAATCATGTCTTATAAGAAGAAAATTCCAAGCCAGGTGTGGTGGCTTATGCGTATAATCTCAGCTCTTTGGGAGGCTCTCTGAGCTCAGGAGTTTAAGACTAACCTCGGCAACATAGTGAGACCTTGTCTCTACAAAAAAATAAAAAATTTCGCCAGGCATGGTGGTGTGCACCTCAACTCTTTGGGAGGCTGAGGAAGGAGGATCACTTGAGCCCAGGAGTTTGAGGCTGTGGTGAGCCATGATCATACCACTACATTCCAGCCTGGGAGACAAAGTGAGACCCCAATTAAAAAAGAAAAGAGAAAAGAAAACTCTGGATTCAGAGGGCTTCACTGACGGACTCTTCTAAGCATTTGGAGGAAGAAGTAACTTCAGACTTGTACATACTTTTCCAGGGAACAGAAACATCGGAATACTTTTCAACTGGCTTTTTGAGGGCAGCCTTGATGCCAAAGCCACACAAGAGAATGTATTTTATTTTATTTTATTTTTATTTTTATTTTTTTTGAGTTGGAGTCTCACTCTGTTGCCCAGACTGGAGTGCAGTGGCCACTCCCGGCCACCACAGCCTCGACCTGCTGGGCTTTGGCGATCCTTCTGCCTCAGCCTTCCAAGTAGCTGGAACTACAGGTGTGCACTACCATGCCCGGCTAATTTTTTATTTATTGCAGAGATGAGGTCTCACCAAGTTGTCCAGGCAGGTCTCAAACCCACAGGCTCAGGCAATCCATTCACCTCAGCCTCCCAAGGCGCGGGATTACAGGCTGAGCCACCAAGCCCGACTGAGAATGTATTTTAAAAAGGACAATTTGCTCAGAAATGGAGGATTGAAAGTCAAAAATGTGTATAAATTGTATGACCATTTCAATAGAAGAAGAAGAATTTGATGAAATATAATAGTCAAAATAATATTCATTGATTTTTAAAAAGTCTAAGTAAACTAAGCATAGTGAGAAACTTGTTAGTTTGTTACAGAAAAATCTATTTAAAAATGACACCAAATATCATACTTAATGGGAAAACAGTGAAAGATTTCACCTTGAGACTGGGAACAAGAGAAGGATGCTCACTGTCAACCTTCTGTTTAGCATTTTGCTTGGTGGCCTCAGTCAGTACACTAAGGCAAGAAAAAGAAATGATAGGCATGAGCATTATAAAGGAAAGAATACATATGTTATTTTGAAACAATATAATTGTGTATGTAGGAAATCCAAAAGAGGCTACAGATAAACAGTGAGAATAAACTACAAGGCTGCTGGTTGGGGCCATTGTGAAACTCAGCTGTGGTTTGTGTGCTAGAGGGGTCTGGTGACAGAATGTGTGTAGGAGTCTGCCTCCGCTGAAAGGTGGGGCTGGGATTTGAAGGCCTGGCCAGCCCTGAATTCTGAGATTAATTGAAGGTGTGTTTCTTCCCTCCTACCTGTCCTTTAGATGATGTCTCCTGGCTTTCCCTAGGCTCTCCCTCTCCTTTATTCCATGTTTTCAGTGTTTGTTCATGTTCTCAGGACTTCCGAATAGACTCCTCCAACCCCATCTGTCACACTGAAACTTGACTTGTGTGCAGGGAGTCTCTGCTCACATGTCTCACAGGCACCTCAGACTCTGCATATTAACTGTGAATGCATCTCACATCCCTCAAGCAGCTTCTCTAGGAAGGTCAAGGTCTCCGTCATTGGCACCAGAATTCACCCTGGGAGTTGTTAGCTTGTTGACCAGCTTCTTTATTCTGCCCCCTTCCCCAGGATCTAAACTCTGACAATAGTAACCTTTCATGTTTTGTTCAGCAGTGAGTTTAACAACGTTTACAACAAGATTTTGCATGCAAAAGGGGATCAATTTATATTTTGTTGACTACATCTATTCCCCTTTCTCCATATTCACTTTAGTTTCTGAACTCTGTTGGTTTGTATCTCCTAAAGTCTGTCCGTTCTTTTTTGTGCCTGCAGCTCTTTATCTAATAAGACTGCCATCTGTTGCCTGGACCTCCATGAAGGGTCCAAGGGGCAAGTGGGTGGAAGAAGAGGTGTTGGGTTAGAACACATTGATGTTGCTGGTGAAGAATGTGAAACTTCACCTTTTTCCTTAAAGGACCCAACTTTATTCAGCTTTATAACTCATAGATTATCACCCCATGATTTTTAACTTTTATTATGAACAATTACTGTTGTCATCAGTGAGTTTATTTCCAAGAGTGAGAGGGCAAGGTGGGTTAAGAAGTAAAAGGTAAGGGAAAGTAGATCGATCTGTCCATATTCCTTTCTTATGACGGTCTCACCTCCTTTCTCCTAAGGGCCACTAACTTTGACTTTCCAGATATACAGTGATGGCTCTGTCCCACTTTTTTGTGAACCATAGCAATTATAGCATCTTAATGTATTTACCTAAAGAGGCTCTTGATTCAGTATTGTAAATTGAATTCTAATCTGATCTCTGTGTGTCTTGTATAAGATAGTGCTATTCTTGGCTTCTTGTGTGTTATAAGACAGTGCAAAAATCCAGGCTTTCTGCTTGAATTGTTTGTATTGGCGTTTCTTAACACATTTATTGGTAATAAATCCAAATATGCCTGGAGTGCAAGAATTAAAACTAGGGGGCGAATCTCTGTTTCTGCAAGAAAAGATTTTCTTTCCTAGATTTGAATTAATATGCTTGCCATTTCCCACCCATTTTTTTCAGTTTAAATGTCAACTGTGATGGGCCACAGTGTATTCTTGTGGGGGGCACTTAGTTATTAACAAACTTTTACAGATACCATTGCCTGATACTTTCATGCTTATTTATACACTTACTGAACAAGTTGGTTTGTCCCCCTGCCATGTAAGTGAGCTCTAGGAGGGTAGAAGTTGTGTCTGTCTTGTTCAGCGTCACTCGGTGTCAGGGTAAGCCTTTGATTAGCAGCTGTTGACTGAAAGAACAGTGCTTCTACTTTGGAGCTTGCTAACTTTCCTTCTTACAGTATTCCCATCTTTCTTCCAGCACTGGAGAGGGGTCTCTTGAAAACACTGCAGAAACTGGATGAATATCTGAATTCTCCCCTCCCTGATGAAATTGATGAAAATAGTATGGAAGACATTAAGTTTTCTACACGTAAATTTCTGGATGGCAATGAAATGACATTAGCTGATTGCAACCTGCTGCCCAAACTGCATATTGTCAAGGTAGGCCTGTGGGGTGTGATGTCACGTTACCAAGACCTAGTACTGCATTTACTAAGGTAGCACTGCCTTTGTGTTTAAACATTTCTGATCTTCTATATGGCCAGCAACTCCTAAATAGTGTAATAACTTAATGTGGTTTAGGTAATAGTTGAAATACCAGTTAATTAAATGGAAAATTATGTCTTAAAATTGGGGCATATAAGAAAAAGGAATTTTTTTTCTCTGACTACATAAAAATTCAAAGATATAATAGATGACTTTGAATTGAGTTTGCTACGCTGACTGATGTCGTTAAATTCTGTTCTATGATCACTTGGCCTTTTCTGTTCAAGGCAAAAAATTCAGTATTTATGATGTGAGACACTGGGCTAGGCACCTTGTTCAATGGAATAGTTATAAGTACTAGCTGCACAATAAAGATCTAAGATAAAAACAGATCTAAAATTTGTGTGTGTGTGTGTGTTTGAAAGTATCCAGTGATTACTCTTGGCTATCTTTCTGGGTGCTTGAGGCCGGCATTTGCAGTCACTGTCATGCTTCTGAATCCCTGGAGTAGCTTGCCATCTTAGTCATTATTTAAAACATTAATAATTTGCTCTAAAATTAGAGCTATAAGTCTAGTTTACAAGAAATGGAAAATCAGTTAACTTCTGATCTCTTTGTATTTCAGGTGGTGGCCAAAAAGTATCGCAACTTTGATATTCCGAAAAGCATGACCGGCATCTGGAGATACTTAACTAATGCGTACAGTCGGGATGAATTCACCAACACCTGTCCCAGTGACAAGGAGGTTGAAATAGCATATAGTGATGTAGCCAAAAGACTCACCAAGTAAAACAGCACTCATAGCAGAGATGTCTTCATGTCTTCTCCCAAGAATATGCTTTTCCTAACAGACTGCTCCTCTTCCTATAGAGTAGAAATTATATTTTGCATGAACATGCAGTTATTCAAGATTAGGATCAAGGATAGATATAGTTTTATCTTAAAACATACACTCCTAAGCAGTATTATTTTAAAATTCCTCTTATCCCCCCTTACCCTCCCCCCCAGGTCCCTCTCTTCTCTAATTTGGAGACAGTCCATCATGGCATTTGCCATCTTGCGGGAGCCCTCACCATGGTGTCCCTTGACTGTGTATAGATGGTGGAACTTCTGAGGGGCAATGTTTAACTGTTCAAGTAGTAGCCATGACTTAATCAGGCAGCCCCAAACTAGTGCATAATGCATGGTACAAGGAATATTTATGTGGTTGGGGATTTTGTAATATTTAGTAAGAGTATATGAAAGGATTGCTACTGTATCAGAAATGTCATTTCAGATTAACTTATCCTGGATATGTGCTAAAGAATATCACCACCAAGAAGGGGGCCTTCTACAGAAAGGCACTACAGATTTTGCTATTTGGCTTGGTAGATAGATTTTTACTTTTGCCTCAGAGCATGTATCTTTCTTAGCAATATAACGTCTGACACTATGGAACCTGGAAGTTTAGAGGGTAGGAGAGTCTTCTCTAGATCTTCCTCAAGTTATCCTTACAAGGGAAACTGATGGGCACCTGACACTCTGTCTCAACGTGTTTGTTAGATATATTTTGCCCAGAGCCATTCATGTGGAGCATGATTACTTTCTTCCCTTATTTTAAAAAGCTCCTTTTTAGGTAAGCGTAGAGCTTGCTGTTTGTAGATCTTTTGAGCAACACTACATACGTTGATACTTAGTTGATTTAGCTATAACAGTACAATGATTAGTATTGTAAAAATTAACACTTAGAGACATTAACCTAAGGAATGAAGGTGGGGTTTGTCAAAATATTAAGTAAATATGTTTGTAAAGCATATTTAATGTAGTTGAGCTAAAGAGTGCATTATTCATCCTATATTAAAAATAAGATAAAACCCAGTTTACCTACTTTCTCATTTTGCCCCGTTTACCTTGTGTAGAGAATTCTTCTCTCCTTTTGGACTAAATTGTTATGATGAGTGTGTGTTTCTTGCAGTTTTGCCTGATCTCAAGTTAAATTTTTGTCCTTCCGTTAAATTTTTCTCCAGCCACATAGAGGAATAGCACTTAACATGGTTTTTTTTGGTTGTTGTTGTTTTTTAAATTAGAAGTCTTAAATCAGGAATTATTTGTGCTCTAATTAGGGAGGATGAATTTGGTGAAAATGAAAGTTTACTATATATTTATTCTTTAAAAAAAAAAAAAAGACTTTCTAAGTACTTACTACTCCAAAGGCTATAGTTGTAACCATAATACATTTTTGGTGATTTTTAAAATACTTAACTTGTATAGGAAGGGCTGTTTCTTATAGGCTGTTTTTTTAAATGTTAAGGATATTTCTTTAACATGTAGTAAGCTCTGGCTTTATGGAAGTAGCCTTTTATAAACATACTTCATTTTGTAACTGTCCATACTTACCTTAGACTAAAAAGATAAGAAAATCTCCATTTGTGTCCATTTGGCTCAGGGAGATTCCTTGGCACTACCTTTCTTAGAATCCCTTATTACTGATCAAAAGTTTGAGCACTCATCTTTTTGTAATTAAATATTGGGTAAGGATTTATGTTGTTCTGAGAAGAAGCACTATCCAATTTACTATTGAGAAATTATAATGCAGTAGCTTCAATGGGTGAAGAAGTGATCCATCTGTACCAGTACACAGGCAGGCATCATCACACCTCACCTACTTTTTAAATAGCGGCAACTTGGCATTCATTCAGGTGGTATTGAGCCTTGCCTCATAGCTTAAAGTATGTAAAGGATTTGAGGGCGGGGAGCGTCTGTTCTTTTTAGTGAGTGGGGGACTCAGTGGTGCAGAGTGGAGGGCTAACAAGAAGAGCTCCATTCTTTCAGATGGGGTGATGAAAAACACATTCTGAAACTCAGAGTATTTCACTTTGGATATTTATTTATTCTCTTCATTGTTTTTCATTTATCCAGTGATTACACTTGGCTATCTTTGTGAATATCCAAGTAAGGCAGGTTTACTGTGATTTCAATGACGACAGACTTATTTTTCTCTGTAGAAAGACAAATACTACTTTATCACAGAAGTTAGATGAAATTGAGATTGGCAAACGGACAAAAGCTAGTAAAAAGAATGATCCTCCAACAGGCTTTTACTCCATCAAACGTTTGTAGAATCTTGAGAAGTTTGGGACAAAAGAGTTTTCATGGCAGGCAGTTCATGTAGTATATGAGTTGACATAATGGAAACTACCTGACTTTATTTCTATTAATAAATAACTCCCCTTCATTTAAACACCTTTTGTGTTTTACCTCAGTGAGGTGATTGGAGTCTAAATGGAAAGTCTCACTGTTTTCCAAGAGATTCTGATAAATTTTTTAATTCAACAGTTGGAAAGTTTTCTACTACTCTAAGTTGATGTGTAACGTCCCTTTTTTGATGTATTGGAGATTTTCTATACAATTCTGTTACCTCCTTTTACTAGGATTATTAACTTTTCTGATAAAATTTAAATGAGATTTTATTTCTTGGTAACTTTGGTTTTCACAATTTATCTTTAAACCCTTGAGCAATCTGAATACAAATATTTCTGACATTCTTACACTGAGAATCAACTCTAGAATTTAGACATGCTGATTTTACTGCTGTCGGGTTTTGAATCTCTCCAGAGTTGCGTGTATATAGCTTTTATTTCTGTGCATTTAACAAAACCCATTTAGAGAATATCTACAAAGTAAAAATGAGAAGAAATAGAAATGTATTTTTTCATGAACATTTTGATATACATTTCATCAAGTTTATTGATTCAGTAATTTCTTATACTGGTTATAATCAGTACTTAATTTAAAAAGAGGGAAGCATTCATTACTAAGTGAACTTTTTAAAAACTCCATCCTTTATAAATGATCAAGGTTTGGGTCACTAAAATTATATTTTTATCATGGAAAAAAATTTCCAGCTCCTCAAGCCATAATATTGAACAGAATTGGAGTATTTTCTTTAGAATTTCTTGAGCAGATAAATGAAAGCTTATTATAGAATGCTTGTATTTTCTTTTCTCTTTGGAACATCAACACCAATATATTTCTGGCAGCTATTGTATTAAAAAAATAAAGTATATTTTCACTATCATAAAGGGTTTCTTTTTTTTCTCCCTCATGAAAATAAATAACAACTTGGGTGAAACTTTTAATTGAGACTCCTTTTGTTCTGAGTGAGTCAGCACAATTAATATGTTAAAGGAGCAAAACCATCTGATCATCTCAGTGGGTGCAGAAAATACTTCGATTAAAAACATTTATTGACTGGGTGTCGTGGCTCATGCCTATAATCCCAGCACTTTGGGAGGCTGAGGTGAGAGGAGATTGCCTGAGCCTGTGGATTCAAGACCATCCTAGACAACTTGGCAAGACCTCATCTCTACAATAAATCAAAAATTAAGCTGGGCATGATGGTGCATGCCTGTAGTTCCAGCTATTGGAAGGCAGAGGCAGAAGGATCGCCTGAGCCCAGCAGCTTGAGGCTATGGTGGCTGGGAGCGTGCCATTACCCTTTAGTCTCGACTCCAGAGTGAGGCTCCAACTCAAAAAAAAAATAATAAGAGTAATACATTCTTAGCAAAATAGGACCAGAAATAATGCTTTAAAAAATTTTTTTAAACCTGATAAAGGACCTACAACAAATGTCATATATGAGTATGAGACAGAAGCCTCATTAAAGTCAGGAATAAGCCGGGCTCGGTGGCTCAGCCTGTAATCCTGTGCCTTTGAGAGGCTGAAGTGAGTGGATTGCCTGAGCCCGTGGGTTCGAGACCCGCCTGGGCAGGCGAGACCTCATCTCTACAATAAATCAAAAAATTAGCTGGGCGTGGTAGTGCGCACCTGTAATTCTGGCTACTCGGAAAGCTGAGGCGGAAGGATCGCCGGAGCCCAGCAGGTCGAGGCTGCGGTGGCCGGGAGCGGCCACTGCACTCCAGTCTGGGCGACAGAGTGAGACTCCAACTCAAAAAACAAAAAAAACCAAACAAACAAAAAGTCAGGAATAAAACAGAGCTGCCCTCTCTCACAGCTACTGTACAACTACTTTCTGCAGCTACTTTAGATACACCCTAGCCAATGTAGTAAGATCAGTAAAAGGAATAGGGTATGGGAAAGAAATGACAAAATGTTCCTTGCAGAAGATGATGATGATGAGTTTGCAGAATAAAAAATAACTCACATATTATTAGAAATAAGAGAATTCAATTGGATTTCTGGTTACAAGATTGAGGAAAAATTAATTGCTATGTACAAATATTAGCTACACTAAATGTTAACAGACAAGCTGGTGACATTGGTTTCTGTAGGAAAAGTGGGTAACTGATGAAAATGGCGGGGGAATAATCAATATATACTTTTTTGAGCCTTTAGAAATTGGTGATAGAATACATCACCTATTCTAAAAACAAAAAGTACTTTAAGAGATAAAGATTCTAAGCTATTTGGGAGCAAATCTAACAAAGAATGTGCAATTCCTTTATGGAGAAAAGTACAAGACATTATTGAAATACTTAATAGAAATGGCAATGGATAGGTATACCATGTTCAAGAATGGAGAGCTTAAAAGCATGAAAATTTTAATTTTGTCTTTGCTTTATAAATTCAATATATGTTCCAACAAATTCCCAACAAATGTTTTAGGACCTTGGTAATTGGGTTTTAAAAATTAATATGAATGAGTTATGCCTCCAAGTAGTCAACATATATCTGATGGTGGGGAAAGAAAGGGAACTTGCCGAGAAGATATCAAGGCTTACTTAAAACTTAATAGTAATTGATAGGGTATATAGGTCACAGCAACATAATGCTGCAAGAACCAGAAAACACCATATTAAAACACTGAAATAATGTTTTAAACACCCGAACAATATGCAAGCAATAAGGACTAAAGAATTGTAATTTCAGAGGGACAAGCCTTTCTGAGGTGAACTGATGGTCTCCTGAGGGCATTTGCTGATTCTGGGCCCAGAACTGAGGATTGGGTTTGGTCCATGCTGTAGGGCTCCAGTGGAGAAAAGAAACTCAAAGCGTTTGACTGAGATCCCCCAAATAAATGACTGACTTTTCTTACAGGACATTTGCTAAACTCCAGAGCTGCACATGGCATGCTGAAAACTAAGCCTAGTGCTTCTGAAAAGCAGAGCAAAGTCTCCTATAATCTGATAATGCTTAGGACACAAATTTTCATTAGAGAGGGGCCTGCCCAAAATTGCCTGGCACTAGGTTGCACAAGCAGGGAATTAACTGCAAACAAGCAAGAGGGATCTTTACAGGGTAACGAACTTGGTCTAAAAGTGTATTGTGGTAAAAGTGGGTGTAGTATCTAGACTACATAAAGAATTCTCACAACTCAATAAGACAACACCATTTTAAAAATTGGCAAAGACTCGCGCCTTTGGGAGGCTGAGGTGAGTGGATTGCCTGAGCCCACAGGTTCGAGACCTGCCTGGGCAGCAAGACCTCATCTCTGCAATAAATCAAAAAATCAGCTGGGTGTGGTAGCGCATGCCTGTAATTCCGGCTACTTGGAAGGCTGAGGCAGAAGGATCGCGGGAGCCCAGCGGGTCGAGGCTGCGGTGGCTGGGAGCGGCCACTGCACTCCAGTCTGGGTGACAGAGTGAGACTCCGACTTAAAAAAAAAAAAAAAAATTGGCAAAGAATTTGAATTGACATTTCTCCAAGGAAGATACTCACATGGTCAATAAACACATAAAAGTAAGTTTAATAGTTAGTCATTAGGGAAATAAGTGCAAGGTGAGACTAGAATGAGGTATCACTTCACATCCTCTAGGATGGCTATAAAAAAGGTGGACGATAACAAGTGTTGGCAAGGATGTGGAGAAATGGGAACCCTCATACATTGCTGGTAGCAACATAAAATGGCACAGCCACTTTAGAAAAACAGTTTGGTAGTTCCTCAAAAAGTTAAACAGAGCTTCCGTATAACCCAGCAGTTTAGGTTTATACCGAGGAGAACTGAAAACATGTCTACACATCTTATGCACGGATGTTCCTAGCAGCATTATTCATAATGGCCCTATGTGGAAACAACTCAAATGTTCACCTAGTTAGTGAATAAAGCAAAATGTGTGAACCCCATATAATGGAATCCTTTTAAGCCACAAAAGGGCATAACGTACGTGCTCGGTGAAAGAAGCCTGATGCAAAAGACCACACGCACGATTCCGCTTGTAAGTGTCCAGAGTGTGCAAGTGTGAGCAGGCATTGTGGTTGCCAGGGGCTGGGAAGGAGAGTGCTAATGGATGCAGGGCTGCTGTGGGGGTGATGCAAACGCTCTGTAATTAGATAGCGAGATGGTTGTACAACTGGAAATGGACTAAACCACTAAGCTGCATGCTTTATACGCATGAGCTTTATAGTATACAAATTAAATCTCCATAATTAAAGGGGCATTTTGTCTTGCTAAAGTTTTGGATTTTCAGTGTATGGACAGATTGATTGACAAAGTTAGTGATGTGGGTTTCCTTCCTTGTGTTTGAATTAAGACGCAATTTAAACGTCATCCCAAATACATTCTTAAAAAGGAAAAAGCGAATTGTGCTAATGCATGCTTAACTCTAAATATACTAAAAGTCATTTAATTTTGTTCACCTAAAATGGGTGAATTCTGTGGTTTGTAAGTTATACCACAATGAAGCTACTTTTAAAAAAGAGATAAAGAACACATTTGAATTCATGGCAAGGGTTTAACAGCAGAATGAACACAGCAGACAACAGGATTCATGCCTGAAGATAAATCAATAGAAACTACCCACACCGAAGCAAAGAGTGAAAAGAATACAGAAGCGAAAAACAGTGCAAGCGTGACACATAGGACACAATCAAAATATATGTGTAAGTGGAGTTCCAGGAGGGAAGGGAACAGGGCACATGCAGCATTTGATGAAATAATTTGATGATAACTTTCCAAAGCCAACCCACAAATACATGGGACTCAGCAAAATCCATGTGAAATAAATACATAGAAATCATACCTGGCCAGCTGAGGTGGCTCACGTCTGTCATCCCAGCACGTCGGAAAATCGAGGCAGGAGGATTGCTTGAACCCAGGAGTTTTGTGGCCAGTCTGGGCAACATAGTGAGACCTTGTCTCTACAAAAGATAAACTAGCCAGGTGTAGTGGTGCGTGCCTGTAGCCACAGCTACTTGGGAGGCTGAGGTGGAAGGATTGTCTAAGCCCGGGAGGTTGAGGCCGCGGTGAGACATGATCATGCCACTGCGCTCCAGCCTGGGTGACAAAGTGAGACCCCAACTAAAAAAATAAATCACACCTAAGAGCGTTGTAGTCAAACTGCTGAAAAACAGAAAAGTCCTAACAACAGCCAGAGAGAAATAGCACATACTCTTGGCGGGAGCAACAATGAAACCAGTGGCTGAACTTTGGAAGGCAGAAGACAGGGTTGAATCTTGAATGTGCTGGGATAAAATTTCTGCCAATCTAGAAGTCCTTCTGAAAATATTCTTAATGATGAAGGCAAAATAAGGCGTTTCAGACAGACAAGAGTTGAGAGAATTTGGCACAAGCAGACCTGCGCTACAAAAAATACTAAAAGAGGCACTTCTTCATGGAGAAAAATGACTGCAGTAGGAGTTCAGGGCCAAGAAAGGCACGACAAGACATGGGCAAACACGCAGGCAAGTGTAAAAGAATGTTGACTGTTTAAACAACAACGATGTCCTGACATACACTTTTGTTATATGCTTTACAGAATATATCCCAACAGTGACAACTGAAGTACTCATAAGATCCTAAAGTTATTTGGAAAGTGGTCATGGTGGCGCCTGCCTGTAGGGAGGCAGAGGTGGGAGGATTGCTTGAGCCCAGGAGATCAAGGAGTGCAGTGAACCATGAGTGCCACTGCACTCCAGCCTGGGCAACAGAGTGACAGTGAAACCCTGTTTCAAAAAAAGGTTTTAATAATAAACCATATGTAAATACTGTAGTCTCTAGGGTAACTACTAAAGTAATCACAAGAATACATAACTTAAAATACTCAAGGGGGAAATGGAAGTTTTTACAAGTTCAAAAGAAAGGACAAGAGGACCAAAGAGACAAAAGATAATACAATCGGAAAAATGGCAAAAGGTGAACTGTAGACCAACACTGTTAATAATTATGTTA